CTATAAAAAAATATACACTTAGTTTTATCTTTATTCTGTGATCTGAGTGCTTATTCCATAAAGTATTATAGTTATATCCAAACAGCCCCAAGAAATGTTTTGGAACTGGTAAGTTGTACCACTGAATGGTTTCTAAGCTGTTATGATTGATCTAGGGATATCAAAGGGTTGAAACATCGTGGTTTGGTCCCAGCTACCTCCAGGAGCCGGTTTAGGGTCTAGCGCTGCTTATTCTGTTTGTCTGGCTGCTGCCTTGCTAACTGTCTCTGGAAGGATTTCATGCCCGGTACAGGAAGGCACAGAAGATGTCAGGTATGAAGTTTATTTTATTCCAGTATGGCTTTAATTAGGACATTTTTTGCACTGTGTAATCCATACTACTTACTACATTTAATTTGGCTCCCAATATGGATGTATAAAATAGAATGTGAAATATTGACATTGTTCTTTTTATACTTGAATGGTGAGTTTTTAAATATACATACTGTGAGATTCTAATCTAAATACTAAAATATAATATTTTTTGATAGGTGGACAGAGACTGAGTTAAAGCTCATTAATAGTTGGGCATTTCAGGGGGAAAAGGTAATTCATGGAAATCCATCTGGTGTGGACAATGCTGTAGCAACACTGGGTAAGTAGTAATGCCCAGAAATCCAAGCAGTAGGGTAGCATGCATAATCTAAGCCGATACATGTGCTGTTCCTTGTGCTTACTGTATGACACACTGGGGGAGATTTACTAAACCTGGTGCTATTAGAATCTGGTGCAGCTGTGCTTGGTAGCCAATCAGTTTCTAACTTTAGTTTGCTCAATTAAGGTTTGACAATACAACCTGGAAGCTGATTGGTTTCTGTGTAGAGTTGAACCAGATTTTTGCACTCTCCGGTTTTAGTAAATAACCTCCACTAACTATAGGTTCACCATTATTTGTTTAAACCTCTTTAGTGACTGTATGCTTAGTATATGTGCAAGTAATCAGAAACACACAATGTAGGTCCATAAACATTTCAGTGCATTGGGAATATCAGACTGTATGTATGCTAAGCATGTGGCTAGCACTCTGATTAGAAGTTCAAGAGTCTTAGACACAATTCCCACCCAAAATACTATCTGTGTGACGTTTGCATGTTCTCCTTATGTCTTCTTCTGGGTGCTCTGATTTTTTTTTTTCCCCTACATTCCAAATGCATACTAACATGTCAGTTGGCAGCCACCCTGTTTTGGGTTTGCACACGTTTAGCTCTAGGCAGAACAATAGATTGTAAACTATGGGAGTAGGACTAATGTGAATGGCTTTGAAAAAAACTTGAGAAAAAAAAGTGTAACAGAAATATTCATTCTACATTTCCTTTGGTTCTCCGAATTATTAATTGACTGTTCTTTCTAGTAGCGTATTGTGAAAGATGGGATTTTTGAGGCACAACTATTAAATAATGTACTTTATTCAATTCAATATAAAATCAACTAATATAACTTACATTTCATAAAATCAGTCCATAATACAATCTTATTCATCGGTTTCACCAAAACATTTTATAAAAATGGTATACATATATGCTTGTCTTTTGTGGCTGACTGATATATTTTGCTCTGTTGGACTGTTCTTTTTTGCTTGATAAAGATTTGATATGTAACTTGACTTGCTTCTCTTTAGGTGGTGCCTTACAGTATCAAGCTGGGCAAATAACCCCAATGAACAGGTACATTTTTATGCTGGCCTTTTCGTTTTATGATTTTTGTATATTTTTCATTTAGTTAGTGTTGTCATAAAGAGCATTTCACAGACTGAGTGCAACAGATGAAAAAGAACAAGCTTTATACAATGCAAGATTAACCTAAGCAGGAAAACTAATAGTACTAATTCACAAGAATACTAATATATTAAAGAAAAACATTTGTTAATATTTGCAGTCAATTTTTAACAACCTCTAAAGTGCAGAAAAGAAAATGAACCACCATTCTCTGAGCTGTAGCAAATTTTTTTTTGTTTATTAAAATGGCAGCAGAGGTCACCTCTCACATGTTTCATACTAAAGAGTGCTCTGATAAAGCTCTCTTCATCACGAAATATGTCAGAGGAGAAAAACTGCTGTCTTCTAAATATACAAGAATTTCTGCATCTTGGTGATTCATTTTCTTTTCTGACAGTTTGTATAGAGTACAACGAGTCAAACCAAAACCCAATTTTAGGCACTATGCATATGTCCTTGGTAGTAGTATAAATGTCATTCATCTTAGCAGTTCTGATGGCTGGTTCCTATGAAACCTGTGTCATGCTATTTTACACTTTGAAATATGTTTGAATTTAAAAGTCTCAAAGAACATAGTGTTACATGCACTGTAAAATGAAGCACTTTCAATCCTGACTGCTCCTGAAGCCCATCTTGATAATCTATTTAAAATCTCTCCACATTAGGTCAAGACAAATAAGGAAAGTTAGTGTCCCATACAGTGGATATAAAAGGTCTATACACCTCTGTTAACATGTCAGTTTCTGTCATGTAAAAAAATGAGACAAAGATAAATGATTTCAGAACTTTTTCCGCCTTTAATGTAACCTATAAACTGTACAACTCAGTTGAACAACAAACTGAAATCTTTTAGGTGGAGGGAAGTAAAAATAAAAAACTAAATAATAAGTGTGCACACCCATAAACTAATACTTTGGTAAAGCACCTTTTTGATTTTATTACAGCACTCAGTCTTTTTGGGTATGAGTCTATCAGCATGGAACATCTTGACTTGGCAAAATTTGCCCACTTTTCCTTGCAAAAACACTCCAAATCTGTCAGATTGCGAGGGCATCTCCTGTGCACTAGCCCTCTTCAGATCACCCCACAGATTTTTGATCGGATACAGATCTGGGCTCTGGCTGGGCCATTCCAAAACTTTCATCTTCTTCTGGTGAAGCCATTCCTTTGTTGATTTGGATGTATGGTTTGGGTCGTTGTCATGCTGAAAGACGAAGTTCCCCTTCATGTTCAGCTTTCTAGCATAAGCCTGAAGGTTTTGTGCCAGTTTTGAATGGTATTTGGAATTGTTCATAATTCCCTCTACCTTGACTAAGACCCCAGTTCCAGCTGAAGAAAAACAGCCCCAAAGCATGATGCTGCCACCACCATGCTTCACTGTGGGTATGGTGTTCTTTTGGTGATGTGCAGTGTTGTTTTTGTGCCAAACATATCTTTTGGAATTATGGCCAAAAAGTTCAACCTTGGTTTCATAAGACCATAACACATTTTCTCACACACATGCTTTTGGGAGACTTCAGATGTGTTTTTGCAAAATTTAGCCAGGCTTGGATGTTTTTCTTCATAAGAAAAGGCTTCTGTCTTGCCACTCTACCCCATAGCCCAGACACATGAAGAATACAGGAGATTGTTGTCACATGTACCACACAGCAGCCAGTACTTGCCAGATATTCCTGCAGCTCCTTTAATGTTGCTGTAGGCCTTTTGGCAGCCTCCCAGACCAGTTTTTCTCTCATCTTTTCATCAGTTTTGGAGGGATGTCCAGTTCTTAGTAATATCACTGTTGCGTCATATTTTCTCCACTTCATGATGACTGTTTTCACTGTGTTCCATGGTATATCTAATGCCTTGGAAAGTCTTTTGTACCCTTTTCCTGACTGATACCTTTTAACAATGAGATCCCTTTGATGCTTTGGAAGCTCTCTGCGGACCATGGCTTTGAACTTTATTTGGGGTTTCATCAGAGGCACATTAAATGATGGCAGGTGTGTACTGATTCCTATTTAACATGATTTTGAATGTGATTGCTTAATTCTGAATACAGCTACATCCCCAGTTATAAGAGGGTGTGCACACTTATGCAACTACATTATTTTAGTTTTTTATGTTTACCCCCCCCCCCCCCTCCAAAAAGATTTCAGTTTGTTTTTCAGTTGAGTTGTACAGTTTATAGGTCACATTACAGATGGATAAAGATCTGAATTGATTTATCTTTGTCTAATTTTTTATATCAGAAACCTGACATTTTGTGTATTTGACATTTTGGGTGTGTAGACTTTTTATATCCACTGTATATGGTAAGAGGACTTGAAATGTTTGCAGGCAGCACATATCAAAAGTCCCAAAGTCAAGCATATTTTTTTTTTCTTAGAGTAAAGATAGAGTAAAAACATTTAGAAACCTAAAACAGTCGTTTTTAAAAAACATTTTTTTGTAATGAGGTCATAACTGGACTGAGTGTTTTTATATATTTGTCTGAATTCTGCTTTATAATAGACCTGTTATTTAAAACATGAACTGGCCACTTGCATAAGGTGCAGGCGCCTAGGTGTATTTGATAATTCTTTCAGAAGTCCATTAGAATTGCTGCAGGAACCCCAAAGCCCATGGCATCCTCATCTGAAAGCTGACAATTCCTGTGTAAAACAGCTGGCCTGATCCTTCACCGTTTTCCTGTTCTATTACTTTAATGTCAGGTTCCTGTGGCCAACAACGGGGTTCTATTGTGCAAGGGGGGCAGGCCACACTTACACTACCAGGAAGTGCCCTGGGTTCATTTTCTTTTACACTTTTACAAAACTATTGCACAACTTTTTTTTCACAATATACAGAAAACAAATGAATGCTTTTGATGGGTTACGCTTGGTCCAGACCACATCCCAGTAACCCTATACTTTCAAAGACAACATTCAAAAACAGGGAATTTTGTTTAAGCAGGCTGATGGGCATCTCAAGCATATCACTCCCTAGAAGACTAAAACACATACCAAACATTGGGTAATATAGTGTATTTTGGCCAAAATATGTTTGTCCTATACTAAGCCATTTCAATGTTCAAACTACTGTAAGTTTCATCAGTTGTGTATAAATACCTTAAGCCCAGAGCAGTCTGCAGGTTCATAATAAAATATATTGTAGAAATTAATTTTACTTATGCATTTTCTGTTAGCGAAACATTCTTTCTGTTTTCCAGCAAATTGCTGAAATGTTACAATGGACCCAGTATAATATATTGTGGCCTCTTTCCAGGGTACCATTGCTGCAGATTTTGCTCACCAACACAAGAGTTCCGCGCAGCACAAAGATCCTGGTGGCAGGAGTAAAAGATAAGCTACTCAAGGTTTGGGTTTTTTCCTTAGAAGTTAATATGTCAACCTTTCATACAAATATGTACCTGTTTAACCACTTGCCCTCCAGAGGATTTGCCCCCCTTCCTGACCTGGCCATTTTTTGCGATACGGCGCTGTGTTACTTTAACTGACAATTGTGCGGTCATGTAATGCTGCATCCAAATGAAATTTATATCCTTTTTTTTCCCACAAATGGAGCTTTGTTTCAGTGGTATTTGATCGCCTCTGCGGTTTATTTTTTGTGCTATTAACAATAAAAGACTGACAATTTTGAGAAAAAAAAAAAATATTTTTGACTTTTTGCTATTAAACATGTCCAGTAAAAAAACTTAAAAAATCAAATTTCGGCATAAATTTAGGGCAAAATGTATTCTGCTACATGTCTTTGCTAATTATTTGGATTACGTGAAAGTTATAGCATCTACAAACGGCGGTACATATACTGGATTTTTTTTTTTTTATACTATTAATGGCGGCGATCAGCGACTTATAGCGGGACTGCGGCGGGGATTCTGACACTGGGGAGGAATTTACCAACTGTCACTGACATTCCCAGTGACACTAATATAGTGATGCAGAGCAATACAAAGCAGTGTGGTGGAGCTGACAGGGGCAAGATCTGTATTGTTTACATACAGACCTCTCCTCAATCAGTGTGCCTTGGTGATCACTGGGTGTCGGCGGGGAATCTCCGGCCGGGACCCGGTGATCGACAGCTGTAGCCACCAAAGGCAGTGCGGGTAGGGCACACGCGTACCCCGTACCCCGAGATACAAATATATATATACATTATTTTGTGCAGCCCTGCCACCCTGTAGCAGTAGTTCTGTTGTAGGGTGGTCGGGAAGCGGTTAATTTCAGATTTGGTAAAATAAGTTTATTTTTTTTGAAGGCTATGTGATTACCAAATTAGCTGAAGAAAACTCTAAAGCAATAGCTACAGTAGTTCTGTTTTTTTTCTGTTGATTTACATCCTGAATGACTGGCATTGACACTTAACTGCCTCCTGCCCATTATGATTATAAAAAGCCTACCACACCTTGGTCAGTTTGCACCACCAAGGTGACTAGACTTAGCATTGCTTAATCAGAGTTGCAGAGGGGTCCAGTCCAAAAAAAAAAAAATAACCCAGGTCAGGAGGAGGTTTTTACTGCTATCTAGGGCTCCATGTTAGAGAGCTTTAACCTCACTTTGCTCCCTTACCTCCTGTTATCAACAGGACACAATCTGCAACAGGAACTCTAATGGAGCCCCAGATTGCAGCAAAAGCCAAACATAGGTTATAACTGTTCGCATTTGTGTGCAAAACTAAGAAAAAAAATACATATACTTTAAATGTTTGATAAGTGCAAAAAATATCTGTTGATCCTCCCAGGAGCTACATCAATACTAGCACTACTGGGCGTTGTTCTATTTCCTGCTTTCTGTTGGTATTAACACTGAGCACTGAGGGATGGAGCACTGATGTCATCTGCTGGGTGGAATTTGGCATGCTAAACTTTCTCCATTTGTAGACAGTCTGTCTTACCGTGGACACATGAACATCAAGGCTTTTGGAGATACTTTTGTAATCCTTTCCAGCTTAATGCAAGTCAGCAATTCTTGATCGTAGGTCTTCTGAGAGCTCTTTTCTGCAAGGCATGGTTCACATCAGACAGTGCTTCTTGAAACCAGTAAACATAAAACAGGTGTGTGTTTTTTTAAGGGCAGGACAGCTGTCAGCAACACATCCAATATCATCACACTGATTGGAGTCAAGGTTGGCTCACTCCTGGCTCCAATTAGCTCTGGGAGAAGTCATTAAGCTAGGGCCTCACATACTTTTTCCTCCCTGCACTGTGAATGTTGCCATGGTTTAATTGCACATAACATGTAAACATCTAATGTTTGTGTAGTATTATGTTCAGCAGACTGTGTTCTTCTATTGTTGTGACTTAGATGACATTCAGAGCACATTTTATGCCCAATTCATGCAAAACTCCACGTAATCCCAAGGGGTTCACATACTTTTTCTTGCAACTGTAGGTGAGAGAAAATGGGATTTTTGTACTTGCTGTAAAATCCATTTGTTGGAATCCATCAAAGGACACAGTTTGCACCCCTCTGTATTTATGATAATGCTATTGGTGCTGATTTGCCACAAATCCGAGATCTGTTGGGTGTACGAGGGCTTATACTGGGCTGCCAGTTTCCAATCCTCCTGTAAGCGGTAGTGTAACCTGAAACTCTAAATTTGTGTCCTTCAATGGACTCCAATAAATAGATTTTACAAGAAGTTAAAAAATCCCATTTTAACATTCTTCGATTTACATTTGCTCTAATGAAATGGTAAATTGTTAGGACGTTATATAATACTCACATTGTGAAATATGTTTTTCTTACAGGTATCCAGGTATTATAGAACCAGTCCTGTCATCAATACATGCAATTTCTCAAGAGTGTCAGCACATACTAGAAGCTTCATCTTCAGGATTGTCTATGGACCAGTATTCAGTGTTAGAGGTAATCTAGTTGAGGGAATAGCAATGCTCTTGTTTGTTATATGAGCCACAAAACAATAAGGTTTGCATAGTACAAGTGAAATCAGCACATAGAACTGTTTGTATCAGGAAAGAAACTGTATCTTGTTGTAGAGTGACTCTAAAGTATGTTGCATTTGAGATTGTTAAATACAAAGAATCAATCTGTGTGTTATTGTTGGTTTTCTATACATTTCTTGAAACAGCACAGTGATTGTAAAAACTATGAATCATCTTGAGGATTTCAGGAGATGCAGTACTACAAAATAATATTATATATAGGTGACATTTTAGTGCTTCTCTTTGGTTGTACTCAGATTTCAGATTTTTTTAATGTTTTGTTCTTAAATAGTCAAATCCTATTACCTCAGTAGAATTGAGTATTTGGACTGTAAGGCTTTGCACCAAGAGGGAAACGAGTATTTCTGACACTGGAAGCACTAATTTTCAGGCGTATTTATGTGCATGTGTACTGGACTTTTGTAATTGGGTGGACTTGCACAATAATCCGAGGCTGGTCCCAGCATCACTGAAATGGAAAGATGTCTCCATGCCTGACATTTTGAAAAGACACCTGCCAACCCTCAAAATGCTCTAATTTTCCAAATGGATGATAAACTGGACACAGTAGATATGAGATGCCACTGTACTTAGTGATAACTTGCCTGAAATAAGAACTGTGTTGCCATCAAAAACCAGTCTGTTCTTCATATGTCTCGTGCAGGTTGGAAAATAAAATGAAGTCTATGGCAACAATAGACCATTCCTAATGTTAAACTCTTTAATAAATCAAGCTTTGCATAAAAAAATGAACTGTTCAAATGATTTTCCGTAATATTCAATAACAACAATGAAATATGTTTGCTTGCATAAGAATAGAAACATCATGGGATGTGATTCTGCTCTAGTAGCTTAATATTGCATTACTCTTCCAGGAACTGATTGACATCAATCAACATCATCTAAATGTGATTGGTGTTGGGCATCCTTCATTGGACAAACTATGTCAGGTGACTGCTTTGCATGGTCTGCACAGTAAACTGACAGGTGCTGGAGGAGGTGGCTGTGCAATAACTTTACTGCGACCTGGTAAGTATTGCACTCATTTGTCATGTCATGACTGTTGTGAGAGAAACCTGGAAACAAATTCCCTGTGGATTTTAGCTTTCCTGGCAGTCAAGAATAAAAGATGAAGGAACACTTTCTCCTGTCATGTGACTGTTATCTGCTCACTAGATGTGCGGAAATGCAATTGTCTTTTCTGTAAAGGAAATCCTTGCAATTGTGACAAGAGGAATCTTTGTGTCCCATTTTTCATACTTTTGTAATATTTAAAAAAACAAGAAAACTCTTCAGCGTATATCGTTTTGTTGTTTTATTGTGGTTCCCATGTTCTGTTAGCAGCCACATTAAACAGCACATGAACAGGGTTCTCATAGTTGAAAGGAAAGCAGACTGATTTCAAATTTACAGAAACTAATGCAAGGCTTTAATCATATTGCTGAGAGTACCAATATTGCTCCAATGATGTACTGTAAATGACAGTTATTTTAATCCTTCTGAGCAAAACTGACAAAGCACTTCACATGCAACGTCTGGTAAAGCTTCACCTCTTTTTACAGGTCAGAGCTTAAACCATTCGTTTTTGGAACCAGGAGGTCAGCGCTGTTGTTCCTGGGGGGATGGGCGGTGCTATTTTTTGTTACCACTGTATTCAGTACACGGCAAGGTCTATGGTCCTCTGTGCTGGTCACATCAGTGTTATCAAATAGTTAAGCAGTTACATTTCTGTTGGAATCCAAAATTAAGGAGTTAAATTAAACTGTCTTAGTTCGAGTTTAAGTGGTTATCGGAGGTGGTGGTGGGGGGAGGGGTGGTGTAAGGGCTCATTTTAGAATGAGAGTTAACTGTTGTGATCTAAGTGTTCAGTGCTGTTAGAGCTTAGCTGTTTGGGGCAGTTAAGAGTTAAGGGCCAATTTTGTGGGTTGGGTTAACTGTTAGGGCCATATTAGGAGTTAAGACCTAGTTAAGGGGTTTGGGAAGGTTAAGCATTAAAGTAGTTGTGAAGGCAGAACTTTTGTACCTTAATACATTCCCTGCATTAAAGCAGTAGTAAACCACAGCTTAAAAAATCAAATAAAAAAATGCCCTGCAAGGTAATGTCATAATGTGCTAGCATGCATCACATACTAGCAAATTATGAAGGACTTACCTTAAAAGAAAGCCCTCCAGCCTCACGCTGTCACTGCTGCAAGAGGCTTCCATCTTCACCTGGCCCTCCTGGGTTCGCGAGCTCTGGACATCTGACTGGCCGAGCCGCAATGACGTCACTCTCACGTATGCACATGGGAGACCTGGACCACGGCACAGTGCTCTGGAGGAACAGCACGGGTATGCACGGGTATGCTGCTCCTTCAAAGCACATGTGCCGGCTCGAAAAAAAAGTGAATATGTCCTAAATGGTGCACATCTAGGAGATTAATTTTACCTACAGGTAAGCTTTATTATAAGCTGTAGGTAAAAGTATAAAAAAAAGAGTTTACAACCACTTTAAGGTAAAAAAAGATATTTCATTATTTTTATCGCTCCCTCACCCCCTATACTTACTTACCATTGCCCTGTCTGCAGTGGTGCTGGTTTCTAAACACAGAGGGAGCAGTGAGAGCCATTGGCTCCTGCTGCTCTCAATAAAATCCTGTGACAAGCCATATGCAGAGAATTGGAGCCAAAATTCACCCTGTCAGTTGACCCCCACTTGATATCCTTTGACTGAAAAATCAAAGGAGCCGGGCGGAAGTTTGCCAGCTGAAAAGCGCCTCCATTCAATCAAATGCAAGCACTGTTTGGGTAATTTCATAGCTGGTGCAGCCGGCTGTCAAAATACAAAAGCCAAGATGGGAGATTTGTTCATCCCATACTATAAAACATCTGTGAGATTTTTCCCGTTCAGCCTGCTATGTGCATGGACAGCTTTAGCAATCCTTTAGGTTAAGAAATTTGTACTAACCACAATATTTATGGCAGACAAAAAAAGACCTGAGATTGCATCAAAATGGTATTCTTATTTTACATCTTTGTGTTCGGTTTGGAGAGTTTAAAGAGAACTTGTACTAAGAAGATAGAAATGCAGGTCAGTATGACATTGTGTGATTGCCTCATACAGAGCAAGACATTATGGGTGGCTGGTGGCAATGCACGCATTCATCATACCTATAAGTGTGGTTTTTGCTTCTCTGGGTTTCAGAAGTTGATCAGGGTGGTGAGAGAGCACAGCCAAGATAAGATTGGGCATCCTACGGCGCCTGCTGTACAGAGTCTCTGTAAAACATCCTAAAGAAAGTTACCTTGTCTTTGACAGGCCTCATATACAGTGTACTGTTTATGTCATACACATTTACTTGTGTGTGTGTATATATTATATATATATATATATATATATATATATATAATGTGTTTGTCAGTTTGAGGCTGGCATAAAGGAACAGTGAGACATCACTGATGCTTATCTAGTGTATAACCAAAAATAAACTCTGGATGCAAATGAAAGACCCACATAGACAATTTGAATTTCTGCCAGCTCCATCAAAGTAAATTTGAACCATGGGTGGCCCTGCAAGCATCACCTGGCTTGACATTAGTAGATTTCAAAATGGACTGAGCCACGTGGAAAAATATTGGCCAAAAATCGATTCATTATATCAGTATGTTCTCAAACCACATTGCAACCTGTGCTATTGTTAATTTCAGGTAAGCATGCTGGTTACAAACTTTATGTGAGGCCTTTTGGTTCTTGACTTCCTGCTTTTGGAGGTTAAGAGTTGGCACACAGCATGGAGTCCAAAGATCATTGGTCATTTACTCTTCTAACATCCTAGAATGCCCGTAGACATTAAAGGGTGGTCAGATGTGCTGCCATGATCTGGCCATTTTCAAGGCAGGAAATGTCCAAAGTGCTGCAGAGCTCTTCATAAACTTGTATGCCAATAGAGAAGGGTAACAGGGGCTAAAAAAAATTGGTGCAGACAGACACTGCTGGAAGAACCATAGAAATCAGGACAGGATTTCTAACATCACAGGTCAGGCAACAGCCTCGTGTGGGATGGAACTCCAACTAAAATCATTTTCAAATTTGCATAGGGGTAGGGAATTTATTCATATACATTTCTTTGAATGGGCAGTGTGGTTTTACAGTGCAGAACAGTATAGCTAGTAGTTAAATCACATTCAATTGAAGTTCTGTAATATTGAAGACGTTTTGCAGCTTTTCCAAGCAGCTTTTTTGGTTCTAATGAGTGTCAGGGAACATACGCCAGCATTTATAGCCACAGAAGTAACTCGGTTACATTCACCTGATTGCCAAGGAATGTGTCAAATCAGATGTTAATTGTCAAGGAACACGCATAGCAGCATGTGTTTTAGTGGGGTACATCCCCAATGACCCTCTGATGTGATGCATAGGGGCAAGTGCTGCAGATTTTCCAGCTTTAGTTTTTGCAGGATAGCATTGGCAAGCCACTGATTAGATTATCAGCAGTCTGACATCTGTATCAAATCCAAGGATCTTCAGTGAGTTAATGTGCATTAAACAATAATTTTCCCTTTGCTTTGGAAATTATGTATACCATGTAAGGGCAGTACCAGGAGTGGTTGGTAGGTGGCAGTATTTCCCAGATTATAATAAATTGTGAAGTCTTGATTAATTATTACACATGGAATTATCTTAAATTGTGTTGTTTTATCTCTATCAATAAATTGTTACACAAGCACATAAGAGTAGTGAAAAGCAAATTAATGAATATATATGGGATGTTCTCCGTAGCAGAAATGTACTGTAAAATCTAACTCCTAATACCAGTTCTCCTCTATTAGATCTAGACCAAAGTGCAGTGGAAGCGGCCAAGCAGCAGCTCACGGACTGTGGATATCAGTGCTGGGAGACCAGTATCGGAGCCCCAGGTGTTTCTTTGCATTCTTCTGTGTCATTGCCACTAGATATTATTGGAGCTTTCAGCAATGTATAAACTATATTTAGCCCATGGATATTACATTGTGGAGCACCATCACAGACTTATCTCATGAAGATTGTATTAGAACTGCCTGCTTTACTGACGTACTGAAAAGATGCAAAGCTTTAATATTGGGGTATTACGTATTACCAGCTGTCAGTCATAGCACCAACCAGAGATGCCGCTGTTTGAAATCAAATTGTGGTTTAGAAAAATGCATTTAGTTTTAAAATAAAATAAAAATAAAAAAAAAACACATGAGCTGAAAATTGTATATTTTTGTGTGTTGCCAATTGATTACAGAGCACCAACCACAGTGTTCTTGAGCTGACAAAATGCTATGGGGAAAATAGATTGTGCACTTCACAAGTCAAAGCTTAGTAAAAGATGAAGCTTCACTTTGCAAAGAATACCCAATCACATGCAATAAAAAAAAAACAGATTTTTTTTGCTTGTACATGATTGGATGGTGGAAGTCAGCAGAGCTTCTCCCCCATTTACTAAGCTCTGGAGCAACGGCACAGTTTGATTGCCTTTAGTAAATCCACCCCTACAGTATATGTTTGTAGTCACATAATTACATTAGGTTATTCATCCAGTATCTTTTGCCAGTAGTCAGCAAAACTTATATAATCAAAGCAGACTTGTAGCACCCAGTATATGTATATGTTTATATTTTAAAGGGTAACTCTACTTTCATAGGAAAAAAATTAGTAAAAAAAAAAAAAATTAAATTTAAATTTTTTGTGTGTATGTGTATATATATATATATATATATATATATATATATATATATATATATATATACACACATATTGCTCAAAAATATTAAAGGAACACTTTTTTTAATCCGAGTATAGCATCAAGTCAATTAAACTCCTGCTATATTAATCTGGTCAGTTAAGTAGCAGAGGGGTTGTGTTAATCAGTTTCAGCTGCTTTGGAGTTAATGAAATTAACAACAGGTGCACTACATGGGCAACAATGAGACGACGACCCCCCCCCCCCCCAAAACAGCAATGGTTTTACAGGTGGAGGCTACTGACATTTTTTCCCTACTCATCTTTTCAGACTGTTTTTCACTAGTTTTGCATTGGTTAGGGTCAGTGTCACTACTGGTAGCATGAGGCGATACCTGGACCCTACAGAGGTTGCACAGGCAGTCTAACTCCTCCAGGATGGCACATCAATACATGCCATTGCCAGAAGGTTTGCTGTGTCTCCCAGCACAGTCTCAGGAGCATGGAGGAGATTCCAGGAGACAGGCAGTTACTCTAGGAGAGCTGGACAGGGCTGTAGAAGGTCCTTAACCCATCAGCATGACTGGTATCTGCACCTTTGTGCAAGGAGTAACAGAATGAGCCCTGCCAGAGCCCTACAAAATGACCTCCAGCAGGCCCCTGGTGGAAATGTCATGAGGGTGGCCTGAGAGCCCGACGTCCTCTTGTGGGCCCTGTGCTCACTGCCCAGTAGCATAGAGCTCAATTGGCATTTGCCATTGAACACCAGAATTGGCAGGTCCACCACTGGCACCCTGTGCTTTTCACAGGTAAGTGCAGGTTTACCCTGAGCACATGTGACAGACATGAAAGGGTCTGGAGAAGCCATGGAGAATGTTATGCTGCCTGTAACATCGTTCAGTATGACTGTTTTGGTGGTGGGTCAGTGATGGTCTGGGGAGGCATATGCATGGAGGGAAGCAGAGACCTCTACAGGTTAGACAATGGCACCCTGACTGCCATTAGGTATTGGGATGAAATCCTTGGACCCATTGTCAGACCCTATGCTGGTGCAGTGGGTCCTGGGTTCCTCCTGGTGCACGACAATGCCCTGCCTCATGTGGCGAGAGTATGCAGGCTGGAGGATGAAGGAATTGATACCATTGAATGGCACGCACACTCGCCTGACCTAAATCCAATAGAACACCTCTGGGATATCATGTTTCGGTCCATCCGACACCGCCAGGTTGCACCTCAGACTGTCCAGGAGCTCAGTGATGTCCTGGTCCGAATCTGGGAGGAAATACCCAAGGACACCATCCGTCGTCTCTATAGCAGCATGCCCCGATGTTGTCAGGCATGCATACAAGCATGTGGGGGCCATACAAGCTACTGAGTACCATTTTGAGTTGCTGCAATGAAATTTGAACAAAATGGACTAGCCTGCTGCATCATTTTTCACTTTGATTTTCGGGGTGTCTTTGAATTCGGTCCTCTGTTGGTTGATAATTTTCATTTCCATCAAATGATGGGGCATCCTTACATTCCTAACAAATTACCCAGTCCATATCAGTATAGATATCCAACGTCATATTTTTCCACATTGACTTCTGATGTGTTTTCAAAGTTCCTTTTAATTTTTTTTGAGCAGTGTACTTTTTTGACCAGTGTTTATTTAAATAATAGTGTTACTGTAAAAAATGTATTATATTCTATTCTATCATTTGCCTTGTTTTAAATGACACTAAAATTAGGGTACAAAGCATTGCAAAAGTATTTATGAATGAAATAAAGATTGGTTTTTTAAAGGTGGTGCAAAAAAAAAATTGAACAAGGAAAATAAAAATGAAAAGGGTTCCTTCTTTACAAGCGGCGACCATAGAACCTTGACGTTCCAAAACCAGCCAATCAGAACCAAACTTTGGAGACTTAACACATCTTTACTATTGGACTCTGTAGCAATCGTATGCACAAATATGGATGCGGACGTCCATGTTGCTAAGGATCCTCCATCATGTGTCATTCTCACTCCAAAATCAGTCCCCCTCCCTTTCTGTTGAGTGACATGTGGTCTGTGTGTGTGCTGAGTTCAGGAGTGCACGGGGCGCAGCTGGATACCCTTGATGGTTGTAAACCCAATTAGCTGATGCCAGGGTGTCTGTCCCACTCTTGTTCTGAATGCTCTGAAGCTGATCGTAAAACTATAAACCCGTCAGTCACTGGACTTCAAAAGCATTCCGGGATAAGCAGTAAAACAGATACCCCATGTGAAAACACTTTTTCATACAATTTCGTAATTTCTTGTAGGTAATACATATAATGAAACAAGACATATATTCAGAGAGGTCATTTTAATACAAGTCACCTGATACCTTACACCCCTAGATTACGTCTACCCGAGAGCAGAAAGCGATATCTCCTTAACCGTCACAGCCAGATATGTCATATGTGATGTCTGGACGTTCAGAATATCGTTCTGCATATTATCCTGCCAGGCGATAGGATGCTACATGTACCTAGGGAAGGTTATTGACCATGATATAAACTGGGAGGGATTTGGTCATAGCCTAAAACACCCCTCCCCAAATGAGGCGATTGATTCTCTGCTTTAAGGAGACACCCTGCTGGGTTCCTAGAAAAAGGCTGTTATGCTTGGAGAAGTAGGTTGAAGAGATCTCCCTTTTAACATCAGGAACCAACTTTGGGAGAACGGTACCCTTTCGTTCAGGACCCTTGAATCTGCTTAAACCAAGGCTGACGGCAAGTATTCCTCCTATCTAAACTTCTTTCTGTTATCTCTCTGTTGTGGTATTGCTCTCTGTATTTATATATACAGTTGTTTTCAAAATAATAGCAGTGTGTTGAAAAAAGTGAATAAAGCTCAAAATCCTAATAGCTTTTATTTCCATACACACAAATGCATTGGGAACACTACACATTCTATTCCAAATCAAAACATGAAGAAAAATATATCAAATTTGTGTTGTTCCTCTAAAAAAAAAAATGAAGAAAAGTGAATATTAGACTGTTCAAAAAAATAGCAGTTTGTATTCTTCTTTACAAACTCAAACATTCAATATATAAACTGAAAAATGTTTGAAGATTTTGCTTTCCTTTGAATCAATTAATATTTAGTTGTATAAGCACTGTTTCTGAGAACTGCTGTACATCTGTGTTGCATGGAGTCAACCAACTTCTGGCACCGGTGAACAGGTATTCAAGCCCAGGATGATTGGACTACATTCCACATTTCTTCTCTATTTCTTGATTTTGCCTCAGAAACTGCATTTTTGATGTCACCCCACAAGTTTTCTATTGGATTAAGATCTGGGGATTGGGCTGGCCACTCCATAACGACCAATCTTGTTGGTCTGGAACCAAGATGTTGCACGTTTACTGGTGTGTTTGGGGTCGTTGTCTTGTTGAAACACCCATTTCAAGGGCATTTCCTCTTCAGCATAAGGCAGCATGACCTCTTCAAGTATTCTGATGTATTCAAACTGATCCATGATCCCTGGTATGTGATAAATAGGCCCAACACCGTAGTATGAGAAACATCCCCATATCATGATACTTGCGCAACCATGCTTCACTGTCTTCACAGTGTACTGTGGCTTGAATTCAGTGTTTGGGGGTCGTCTGACAAACTGTCTCCGGCCACTAGACCCAAAAAGAACAATCTTACTTTCATCAGTCCACAAAATGTTGTGCCATTTCTCTTTAGGTCAGTCAATGTGCTCTTTGGCAAATTGTAACCTCTTCAGCACGTCTTTTTTTCAACAGTGGGACTTTGTGGGGGCTTCTTGCAGATAGCTTGGCTTCACATAGGCGTCTTCTAATTGTAACAGTACTGACAGGTAACTTTAGACCTTCTTTGATCTTCCTGGAGCTGATTGTTGGCTGAGTCCTTGCCATTTTGGCTATTCTTCTGTCCATTTGAATGGTAGTTTTTTCGCTTTCTTCCACGTCTTTCAGGTTTTGGTTGCCATTTTAAAGCAATTGCGATCATTTTAGCTGAGCAGCCTATCATTTTCTGCACTTCTTTACATGGTTTCCCCTCTCCAATCAACTTTTTAATCAAGGTACGCTGTTCTTCTGAACAATGTCTGGAACGACCCATTTTCCTCAGAATTTCAGAGAGAAATGCACTGTAACCAGCATGTACAACATTTGCTGCCTTCCTTCCTTAAATAAGGGCAATAATTGCCACCTGTTTTTTTAAAGAATGAATGACCTTACTAATAGAACTCCACACTGCTATTATTTTGAACATGCCCCTTTCAATTAGTGATTCAA